AAGAAAGAAAGAAAGAAAGAAAGAAAGAAAGAAAGAAAGAAAGAAAGGAAGGAAGGAAGGAAGAAAGAAAGAGGGAGAGAGAAAGAAGGAAGGAAGGAGGGGAGGGAAGAAGGAAGGGAGGAAAGAATGAGTGCAAGGAGAGAGGAAGAGAGGGAAGAACTTCGTTTATAAACTAAAGGAAATCAAACATTAGGCAGATTGGTTACCAAAAACTGGAGTAGGAGGCCATTTTCAAGGTTGGTGGTATATGGTTTTCAGGCAATCAACTACAATTGCTATAGTATAGAAAGGATACCAGACAAAAGAACCTGTTTCTACCCCTACCCCAGCCCTGTAGTGTAGTTTCAGAACTCCTGCCCAGAGAACAGGATTGTGGGAGAGGCATAGTCATTGGCTGCCCCCACGTGTGTGAACCACCTCCTCGGGGTCAGCAGTGAGTGCTGCGGTGGCAGGGAATCTTCCCGACTGCCGAGCAGAGATTCACATTCAGCATACTGCTTTTCTTATCACATCTAGAAAAGTGATATCAAAACTGACTTGTGGGAATCAGTTCAAGACTGCCAACGGTACCGACTGCTTCCAAATTTCGTCATAAGTACAAAGTGTTGTCTTAAACAGTCGTAAGCTGATACCCATTTATACCTGTCTCCTAAGTTCACCATAAAACACAACCAGGTCACAGACTTTTCTAGGCGGCTCGTCATTCCATGCCACATGACGTATCAGGTAAAGAGTAACTGAAATAAGAATATCCGCATTCTCTCCTTACTTAGGAGTTGACCAGAAGGTCAGATGAAGCTTTGCAAATCCCAGGCTTCTGAGGGACTTAAAATTCAGACTGAAAATGAATGTTTTCTCAGCTCCCAGGAAGCCAAGACTCCTCAGGCTCAATAACAACCTGCAAAACTAAGTTTAAAAAGAAAGAAACAAACAAAGAAAGGAAATCACATCTCTGGTTTTTTGCTTCTAGGCTCTAGTTCAACTTTAGAAAGGGTCACGTATTAGAACAAGCTTTTATCATTACAGTAACCTGATCTGTGGTCTCAGGTGACATCTCATTAAAGCCAGTGCAGGTGCCACCTGAGCGCCTGGATTGTCTTTCTAATCAAGTTGAAATTCATCCAACTCCAGCTTCAACATCAGCTGCCTCTCAGTGACATTGTTTGAACCTATCTGCGCTTTGCCACAGCACCCATGGGCCCTGGAAGATTTAGACATGGGTTACAGTTACCACTGCTGCCAGGAGATAAACAGTTCCTCCCAGGCTTTCCTCTAATCCCCTTCTCAAGGAGCTACCAGACGATTTAAAGCTGATTGGCACTCCACTGGGCACCGCACTCTGCCCCTTAGTTTCATTTCAGGTGTGCCCCTTGTAGCTTAATGTACTACTTTCTGTGTGCTCAAGTACCCCAAATTTATCAACTTAACCCTCTTCTTCTTCTTCTTCTTCTTCTTCTTCTTCTTCTTCTTCTTCTTCTTCTTCTTCTTCTTCTTCTTCTTCTTCTCCTTCTCCTTCTCCTTCTCCTTCTCCTTCTCCTTCTCCTTCTCCTTCTCCTTCTCCTTCTCCTTCTCCTTCTCCTCCTTTGCCTTCTCCCTCTCCTTCTTCTCCTCCTTCTCCTATTATTCCTCCTCCCCATCCCTCTTCTTCCTTCTATTCCTCCTCCTTCTATTCCTTTCTCCTCCTGTTATTCCTCTTCCTCCTGTTCCTCTCCCTTCCCCTATTCCTCCTCCTCCTATCCCTCTTCCTCCTGTTCCTCCTCCTAGTCCTCCTATCCCTCCTCCTTCTATCCCCCATCCTCCTCTCCATCCTCCTCCTCCTATGCTTCCTCCTCTTCCTCCCATCCTCATCTCTCTCTCCTCTTCAATAGAGTCTCATTATTTAGCCCAGACAGCCTCAAGCCTCCTGCCAAGGCTGCTAAGCTCTGACATCACAGACATGCACCTCCGATTTCGGCGTCCCATCTCATCCCTTCTCAGAATGTGGTTAAGTGCACTCATTTGTCTAAACCAGTCTCCACAACTCTTTCTCTCCTGCAAAGCAAAAGCCTAGTATCTACTGAACAATTCCCCCTCCTCTCTTCTCTCTGGTCCCTGGCAACTATTTTTTAGTTTTCTGTACTCTACCTGGGACTTCATATTCATGGACTCACAATCTTTTTAAAAGTGACATTTCACGTGGCACTGTGTCCCCTGGTTTCAGCCATGTGAGTAGTATGTTTCAACATTTCCTTGAGGGTCAATATTTCATTGTGTGTATATATCATGCTTTGTCTACATGTTAGTCTGTCGATAGAGGGCTTGTCCCACCCTTTGGCTATTGAGAGTGATACTGCTGTGAACGTGGGTGTATAAATATCTTCTCAATACTGCGCTTCCAATCCTTCAGTACACACATACCCTGACGTGGGATTTCTGGATCATAGTAATATCATTTTTAATATTTTGAGAAGCCACCCACACCATCCTCAATGACAGCTGCAATTTTTGTCATCCACCAGAATGTTCCAATTTCGGCACAGCGTCAATATTGGTTTCTTTTCTGTTTCTCTTTCTTAAGGATATTATTCTATGTGTATCAGTGCACCCCCACCCCTGTGTGTGTGTCTGTGCATTTCATGCAACGTAATGCTTTTGGAGGCTAAAGTCGGAGGTCAGATTCCATGGATATTGGAGTTACAAACGTTTGTGAGTGACCATGTGGATTCTAGGAACTGAACCTCAGTCCTCTGGAAGAGTAACCAGATGCCACTGAGCCATCTTTCCAGCCCTGTTTTCTTAAACAGCAGCCATCTGAATGGATAAAAAGTTAATACACTGTGTGTGATGTTTATTGTCTGTTCTTCCTGACCTCTATGCTAGCCCAGACTACAGGTCCCATCAGCAAAGAAATACTGGTCTGTTGTATTCACCATCGCATCCTTCCCTAGAACGGCACATAGGATACAGGAAGGGCTCAGTGAACAGTCTCTGTGTGAATGAATACACGAAAGCTGGGCCTGGTAAAGCAAGCCTGTGATGCAGCTTGTTCAGGAGGCTGAGGCAGGAGGACTACAAGTTTAAGGACTGCCTGGGCTGCATCGTGAGCTCAAGTCTAGCCTGGGCAATTTAGCAACTGTGCCTCAATAAAAAGTAAGAAATCAGCTGGAGATAGGATACTCATTGGTAGTGCCCTAGACTGACATACACAAGG